GCAGGTGAAGCAGGTGAGGTGAGGGGGGTGAGATGGGGGGGTGAGGTGAGGGGGTGAGGTGAAGGGGTGAGATTGAGGGGGTGAGGTGAGTGAGGTGAGGGGGTGAGGTGAGGGGGTGAGATGGGTGAGGTGAGGGGGTGAGGTGGGTGAGGTGAGGTGAGGGGGTGAGGTGAGGGGGTGAGGTGAGGGGAGAGCGGCACTGGATAACCGAGACAGAGACAGCGTCCACTGTGGTGTCCTGTGATAATAACACTAGGGAACGGAGTCGGCGTCCAGGAAGGCTCCTCCCTAGAGCTCAGCCCTGCCGACCCCTTTCCCTTAGACCTGAGGCCTCCATTCCTTCCGTTTTCCGCCCCCAGCTGTGGTCCCTTGTTCCGCTGGCCCCAGGACCCTCATCCAGTGACCGTGGTGCCCTCCCCTTTCCAAGCCTCAGGTTTCTCATCTGGGAAGTGGAGTTCGTGCCCCACCCGCTCTGGTTGCTGGAAGGCTTAGCAATGAGGCTTAGTTCCGGGGCAGGAGGCCTGCGGGGTGCAGGCCCGGCCCACAGCAAGAGCTGCGGCAGGCACTGGGGGCTGTGCACATGGCCTGCAGAGCCCGGGGTGGGCCTCAGGTGGGCAGGGCCCGCACCTGTTGGAGAAGGGGATGTGCGACGGGGTGCAGTAGCTGTACTGGTCCATGACGTGTGTGAAGCTCTCCTGCTGCTCCGCCAGCGACAGGGACCCTCGCCACACGAACTGCAGACCCTGTGGGCAGAGGCGCCGGGACAGTGTGAGGGCCGGCAGCATGCTCTGGCCTGCGCCCCAGCCCGGGAAGCCTCCCCTCTGACCTCTGGTGGTTCACGGACGGGATCTCCCTCCCTGAGCTCCCAGGTCCACACTGGAGGCGTCTGCCCCCAGCGAGGGGCTGCGTGCTCACTCAGCCCACCCCTCCTCAGGCAGGACCTGCCAGGGCCCGAGGAGGCACTCAGCTAACCCTGCTTGAACACCCCGGGACGGGGAGCTCATCGCCTCTCCCGGCTCTTTTTCAAAAATAATTTTGTGGTTGACAATGTACACAGCAGCGCACACATGGATCCCAGTTTCTCCACGTACCCCTCTTCCTGCCGTACGAGTCGTCCCTCTCCACCCAATAAACACACTGTCCCCCAAGCTTCCCATCTAACCCTTTGAGTGGCTGTTGTCAACTGGATCCCACAGAGACAGATCTGAAAGGGCACGTTGGTCAAATCAGACATTTTTTACTAGTTAAACTACTGTTTGGTTTTAAGAAGACTTCAGGGGATATTTTTGGATTAAGGTTTAAAGATGATTTTAGGACAATTATTCTGGGACTCATCCAGCCTCCATGTCTGGATTCCATGAGAATTTTACATTCTGTTCTGCAATTTCCCCCTTTTGACAAGGATTCCTCTACAGTATCCCAGCCTATTTTCAACGACTCTGATGGTTGGATGCACTCACAGTTACAAAGCAGGGATAAGTGCCTAGCTCTGTCCACTGCTGGTGCCGGGACCACCCTCAGCCTTCGAACCCCTCCATGCGAGGTTTCTGCACGGGGGTCATCTGCCGGTGACTGAGCCGACACCCAGGTGTGCTCAGTGGAGGTGTGGCAGGATGGTGACTCCATAGTGTTACTGCCCTTGCCCACAGAGCCCACTTCTGTAAACTGCTGCCCCGTGGGCTTCCCACTATCTCCGGGACCAGAGCATGCCCGTGAGCGTGGGGGTGGGGACAGAGTGGGTGCCAGACCCCCAGGCCCAGAGTGTGTTTTGGAGGTCGGGGCAGAGCAGGGCCAAGCTTCCAAGACCAGACTGTGCCCCGTGAGGGCTGGGACAGAAAGGGAGCCAGGCCTCCAGGACCACAGCATGTTCTGGGGGTCGGGGCAGAGGGCACCAGGCTTCCAGGACCAGAGTGTATTCTAGGGGTCAGGCCAAAGTCGGGGCCAGGCCTCCAGGACCACAGGATGTTCTAGGGGTTGGGGCAGAGTCAGGGCCAGGCCTCCAGGACCACAGTGTGTTCTGGGGCTTGGGGCAGAGTTGGGGCCAGACCTCCAGGGATCAGAGTGTGTTTAGGGGTCAGGGCAGAGCAGGGGCCAGGCCTCCAGGACCAGAGTGTACCATGCAAGTCGGGCCAGCAGCTGGGGTTCCCATCTCCCCTCACCACCTGTGTGATCCCAGGTACTTCCCTTCTGAGGCTCAGGTCCCCATCTGTAAAGTGGGGTGAACCGTGGCAGCGTGTCTCATGGCTGTGTGAGGAGGAAGGGGAAGGAAGGACCTTCTCCTGCCAGCCTGTACTCGGAACATCCATGCAATAGTGCTGCCCACACCCTTGCAGATCAGAGATGCCCCCTGCCTGCCTCCCACAGACACCCCTGCCACTTGCTCTAGCCTGGCTGTCTCATCTACTGAGTGGGGGTCTGCCCTAGTCCAGGAGGACTCGGCCCCCGCCCCAGCCCCAGCTGAGGGCAGACAGCAAGGGGCATCCACTGTGGTCCCCAGCACGGTGGGAAGCCAGGCCTGTGGGCAGGAGGCATCGTGGAGGGCTGCCAGGACCCCCTGCCCACCGTGCGCCTGAGTGTGGGACTCTCAATGAGGAGGGACTGAGTGGAGCGGCAGTAGCAGTGACCAAGGCGCCCCCTCACCTGGGCCTCCTGCATGGCCCCCTTGAGGTCGTAGTCGATGCGGGAGATGAGGTGGGCATCGAAGCCCACCAAGGCGAACAACGTGGGAGTCGTGGCGGAAGCCCCAAAGGGGTCGACGTGCCAGGAGAACCGCGGCCGGATCCCAAATGTCTCATAGAGGAAGCCGTGTCCTTCTGCAAAGAGAATGTTACCTCGCTGGTGCCGGCAAGGCAGCCCCTCCCCCACACTCACCCAGGGCACCCCTGCCTATCCAACCTGGGGGCGCCTGCCATGCACCTGGCCAAGTGGGGCCACACAGATGCAAGGGCTTGGGGTGACCTTGGACAAGCACTGAATCAGAGCTCCCATGGAGCTGCGGCAGTCAGACAGGATGAGGTGGCTGTGGACCCCGACTTGCCCACAGACTCCGACCCATTTTCCTTCAGAGCTGGGTCTCCGGACCCGGCGCTCCTCTAACCAAGAGCAGGACGCAGCTGTGGCAGGTGGGCCGTGCATCCAGGACAGAGAGCGAGAACTGTGGCTTCCGTCTCGGTTACACTCGCCTTCTCTGGGGTCACTCTCCTGGGGGAAGCCAGCAGCAGTGCTGTGTGCAGTCCCACAGAGAAATGAGGACCAGAGGCCCCAACACAGGCAGCGAGGGGCTGCAGCCGCCTCCAGCAACTGCAGGTGCAATCGGGTCGCAGATGGCCCTCAGGTGAGCAGCGAGGGGCTGCGGCCGCCTCCAGCAACCGCACGAGCAATCGGGCCACAGATGAGCCTTCAGGTGAGAAGGCAGCCCCTGGCCGACCCGTGATCTCAGCCTCAGGAGAGACCCCGGGCTGCAGTCACCCCCTGAGCCGCTTCTGGCTCCCGGCTCACAGACACAAGCAACTGGGCATGTCTGCTGTTCGCAGCCACTGAGTTTGGGGCGGTTTGTTACACAGCAAGGGGTTCAATCTCAGAACCATCGGCCATTTACTTCCTCCTTCATTATTAGAAACCCAACACAATGGGCCAGGGAGTCCCTGGTGGTGCAAAAGGTCAAAGGAGAGGCCTGGCAATGCAGCTCCCCAAGGTCACAGCCACGGAAATCCTGCAGAGCACAGTTCTGCTCTGACACACGTGGGCTCACCATGAACCAGAGCCAACTCAACGGCAACTGGCTTTGGTCCCAGATGTTGGTCAAGTGCCGCCAGGACAAGAACACTGCCACACTCATACAGGCCCTGGATCAGGTCCTTTCCCAAAATGCTATCTTGTTGATACTGTGAGAGGTGGGTGTTATCGTCTGCATTTTCAGGATGGACAACTAGAACCCTGAGAACTCCAGGAACTGGCCTGGAGTCACTGCCCATTACCAACGAGTCTTTAACCAGGGACAATGGAAGACAGTAGGACCAGATCAAAGCCAGGCCAGACGGGGGAGAGGTGCATGCTGGGAGGTGGGGGGAGGGGAGAAGGACCAGCCAGGCACATGGACGAGTGGTGTCCTGAGAACACCCTTGGGAATACCCACAGGGCAGGCAAAGCCAGGCCAGACAGGGGGAGAGGTGCATGCTGGGAGGTGGGGAGGGGAGGATCAACCAGGTGCATGGACGAGTGGTGTCCTGAGAACACCCTTGGGAATACCCACGGGGCAGGCAGAGCACAGGTGGGAAGCCAAATTGCTGAGCCACGGAGAGGCAGGAGCAGAACAGTGGTGGAAATCTGAGGAAAGAGGGATGGACAGTGTGGACGCTGAGAGAGGGCAGGGGCCCTGCAGGGACGGACCATGTAGATGCTGAGAGAGGACGGGGGCTATGGAAGGTGCCCCCACCAGCCCAGCAGTCCTTCCTCCTCACTCATGGACCCTCACTTTGTTCAGAGGCATCATGTCCAACCCAAGGGATGAAGGGTGGTGATTGGTCCAAACTGGCTGTCACTCAAACAGAACAAGGGGATACTATGTGGCTTAAAATCAGGAAAAGGCACACCTCAGGGTTGCATGCTTTCACCATCCTTATTCAATCCGAATGCTGAGCAAATAATCTGAGAAGCTGGACTATACAAAGAAGATCATGGCATCAGAATGGAGGAAGACTCATTAACCATCTGCGACATGCAGACGACACCCTCGCTTGCTGAAAGTGAGGATGACTTGAAGCACTTACTGGTGAAGATCAGAGACTGCAGTCTGCAGCATGGATTACACCTCAACATGAAGAAAACAAGAATCCTCACAACTGGACCAATGAGCAGCATCACGATATATGGAGAGAACACTGAAGTTGTCAGGGATTTCATTTTACTTGGATCCACAGTCAATGCCACAGAAGCAGCAGTCAAGAAATGAAATGACGAATTGCACTGGGCAAATCTGCTGCAAAAGATCTCTTTGAAGTATCAAAAAGCAAAGATGTCATTTTGGATACTAAGGTGTACCTGGCACCAAGCCATGGTAGTTTCAGTCACGTCATCTGCATGCGAATGCTAGATGACGAATAAGGAAGACAGCAGAACTGCCGCCTTTGAAACACGGTGTTGTGAAGAAGGACACGCTGGGGCTGCAGGAGAAGGAACACGTCTGTCTTGGAAGAGTGGCCAGGATGCTGCTTAGACAGGAGGACGGTGAGACCTCACCTCACATTCTTTGGACATGTTATGAGGAGGAAGAGCAGGGCATCAGGCCTGGCAAGGTGGAGGGTCAGCGAGGAGGGCAGGCCCGCAGTGAGAGGACTGACACGTGCCTGCAGCCACGGGCTCACACGTGGCGAGGACCGGGCAACCTTTGTTTTGTTACACAGGGGGTTTCTGTGAGTCCGTCTGCTTGACAGCATGTAAGAGTGAAACCGGACACGACACCCTCACCCCCTTCTGCCAGGAGTTTGTTTCCTCAGCCTGGGGTGCAGCTGGAGTGGCTGGACCAGGGATGCAGCCAGTACAGTGTGACTCCACCTGCCTGGGGACTTCAGGGGTGACTTCTCACTTAATTTCAAAGAGAGACTGAAGAACAAAGACCCTTTTGCTTTTTTCCTGCCTGAACGCGGTTGGGTGGTGACATGATGCCTGGAACTACGGCAGTCATCTTGTGATCATGAGGGAAAGTGAGGAAAATGACAGAGACACCACGGAGCTGCCCGACTGGGCCCCAGACTGTCCCTGTCATGTCAACTAAGCAATGCACGTCTGAAAAGCCACTGTTCCTCAGGTCTTCCGGCACTCAGGAGAAGGCACGTCTAGCTGAGGGGTGTCCAATGGCAGACAGTGGTCCTCTCCTCCCTTTCACTACCCAGACCTCACACTCTCTTAGTTTCAGCAGGGCACAGCACCTCCCAGCCGGACTACTCAGCCTCCCTTGCAGCTAGTGGAAGTCACATGATGCCATTCTGGCCAATGGGATGTGAGCCAAAGGGAAGAACTACATCTACCAGCTTCCCCTGCAGCTGGAGGTCATGTGATCAAGCTCTGGCCAATGGGATGTGAGCAGAAGTGACTGGGTTCTTCCTAATCCTGAGAACAAATGCTTCCCCTCTGGAGAGATGTCAAGGCTAAATTAAGGTGGGTGTTGGCACCTGCAGAGGACAGGGGGAATACTAAGAGTGGTGGCAGGCCTGACCCTCCCTTGGCAGAGGCTGGGGGGGGTGGTGGGCAGGCAGGCGTGCAGCCAGAGGGGCTGGGGGAGGAGAAGTGCCCCAGGGGAAGGTCAGAGGCCTGAAGGCTTGGCCGGAAGTACCTGCCCACCCAGCACCACACTTCTTCCTCCCCCGTCCAAGGCCGGAAGTCCAGTGTCACTTGCCCCAACACCCCTGAGACTCCCTCACCCGCTGTGCTGTGGTGCATGGCCAGGTCTCTGGGAATATTGGGGATATCAGAATGTGTGTTCCGAAAAGTCCAATACATGTCCCTCCTCCACCTTCACCCCCGCCCCCAGGACCACACCTCAGACAGAAAGCAGCCGGGCTGTGCAGGGTCTAAGCCCCTGGGACCACACGTCAGACAGAAAGTGACTGGGCTTTGCAGGGTCTGAGTCCTCAGGCTGACCAGAGTCTGAGCCCCTGGATCATACATCAGACAGAGAATGGCCAGGCTGACCAGGGTCTGAGGCCCCAGGATCACATGTCAGACAGAAAGTGGCCGGGCTGTGCAGGGTCTGAGCCCCTGGATCACACATCAGACAGAGAATGGCCATGTGGACCAGGGTCTGAGGCCCCAGGCTGACCAGGGTCTGAGCCCAAGCTCTGTGACTCACTGATGCCAATCTTTGCTGTGCCTCGCTTTCCCCCTCTGTGAAGTGGGGCTAGTTACAATACCCTGTTTCTGAGCCGTGTGAGGCAGGGTGGCGGTAGGTGGGGATGGGCATGTACCGAGCACTGCCAGTTCACTCCTCAAAGCCACTCTGTGAGGTCAGTGCTGCCACTAACTCAGTGGTGAGCGAGGAAATGAAGACAGAGGTTACACCCTCGCCCCGGTCACAGGGTTGGGGTTGGCTCTAGGCCCCACACTCTCAACCCCTCCACGCACCCACTCAGCACAGGAGTGGATGTGGCATCAGCCGGGAAGCACGGATGTGACTGCCAAACTCCCTACTACGAGGGTGGACAGAGCCAGAACCCAGGTCCTCAGGCACTCAGCCCCAGGCCAGCTGGAGGCAGGACTGTAGGGCCAAACCTGTGAGCTGCAGAATCTGGTCATCGATGTGGGTCACTGCCTCGTCATGCATGACCTGGCCTCCGAGGACAAACTCCAGGCGTCCACTGTCCAAGAGCTGGCGGACCTTGGCACAGGCAGGCAGAGAGAGAGTCAGGTCACAGCCCCTAGGCTGCGCTGGGTCTGGGGGGACCTGCCCCCATAAGCCTCTTTACCTTCGACTGTGTGTTTGTCTCAGCCCTATGAAAGTGGGGCCCTATCTGTCCCCCACCTAGAACAGCACCTGGCCACAGCGGGTTTTGACAGTAAATATTTATGTATTTAGGTTTCTCTTTTAAGATGATTTCAAACTTAGCAAAACGCTCCAAGAACTGTAGGAAGCGCTGCCACGTAGCCTCTGTGTGGCTTCACTAGCCTTAACGCTGTGCCCAGTCTGCCTCCTGCTCTCTTCTCTACACACGCACCATGCTCTTCTCTAAAGCCCCTGAAGACTATGGCGGCAGGCTAGTGCCTGGGACCCCAAGGACTTCGAGATGTGTTTCCCAAGAACTAGGGTAATTATAAGCACACTATCAACAAAACCAGGAAGCCCAGCTCACACAGAAGTACTGTCTAGTCCACAGGCTCGATTCTAATTGCGCCAGTGGTTCCCCCCATGTCCCTTTTCTGGAGCAGGATCCAATGGAGGGTCGCTCTCTGCAGTTAATCATTGATTTCCCTTTGACGTCCTTTGGTTTGGGACAGC